CTTTGAAAATCTATTTAGAATTTAAATTTTGGATATTTTTTTTCCAAGTGGGGAACATCAGCATCACACACACTTGAAATGAGATTTCCTCTTATCTTGCATTAAGCACCGAAGCGCAGCGCAAGGCGGCGTTCTGGGCATGTGGGTGTCAACAAAGACATTCAAAAACTGTCTTTTAAAAATTAATTTTAAATGCCCCTGAGAGAAATAGAGAAAATTGTGAATACCCCCAATAAAAATAAAGACTTTCACATTACCTTTTAAATAATTGTATGTGTTACAACTGGACAAAGAAATTATGATTCCTCCTTCGCTATATGCACTGTAGAGCATATATAAAACTTCCATCCACATCCATATAGTTTTTATATATCCGTCTAAAACCTCCATTCATAAAACAGCTCTTCTCCCACAAGAATGTGTTTATGCTGAATTTCTGCTCCTTCCAGTGGTTCCAGGAGCCTGGGTGAGGTGCCGGGTTCCTCTTGGTTACAGCCACCATGGGACTGACTTGATAACTGGATCCAGAGCTCCCCAATCCAGGGCACATAAGGGCAGTGAACGTGCCTTAAACCCAAGTGCATCATATTTTAAAGTCCCTGCTATTTTATCTGTTGCATCATGAAATATTACAGCAAGCCACTCGAGTGCCAAGTGTTTCCAGCAAGGCTTTAAATGTCTTCAAGGGAATTTTTTAGAGTGGGGTTGTTCTTTACTGAGGAAGCACCTCTTCTCCACGTTTCATGGGTAGGGCAGTGAGAGACAAAATGACACTTTTTGCACTGTTTGCAGAGCTCTTGGGGAATAAAGGGCTTCGTTTGATTCCTTTAAGCCTTGGTCCTTTGCCGGAACTTCTGTTCAGCCTTCTGTGTAGAAAGAACAGGGGTGATCCCTAGGGGCAGGTTTTAGGGTGATGAATATTCAAGTGTGTCAAAACAGAAAAGGTAAACGGGGTGAGAAGAATGTGGTAATTTCTGTATAGTGTTGGTAGGACACTGCGTTTAACCTTTTTGGTAGATCTTTTCAGAGTAGCGTTGAACATGGTGTAATCCACCAGATCCTTTGCTCTGTCCCAACGTGGAGATTCAGTGGAGCTTGAGAGAGTGAGACCTAAGGGTAAGTCACAGGAGAGCAGGGGGAGGCTTCACGCTGACCTCGGGGCTGGAGAAACCTTTCAGATCAAGTCCCTGATGCTCAGCCTGGGCTGTCTGCTGGAGAAATCCAGGTTTGGTGCCAGTCTGCTTCCCTGTGGACAGATATCCAGGCTGGAAGGTGTATCCCAGGTGGGTTGGACAGTCGGTGGCCCAAAATTACATGCAGATGCCATTGAGGCAGTGCTCTCCTGGCTTCTGGAAGGTTCTCAGCAGCCACATATCTTTATTTCTTCCTGTTTTTTAAGGCTTGTCTCTTACCCAATGATCTTGTCAGTTGAATGAATAAAATGGTTGTCAGCGTAGTGCTTTTCTACGCAAGGGGGGTTATTTACTAATTGGGACAGCTTCGTAGCGTGTTGTTCTGGCCAGTTCTCTGAGCAGATGCATTGTGTCATCTTCCAGAATCCAATTTGTAACAATAATGGTTTTCTCTTACTGTGTTTCTGGAACCAATTTGACTACTTTCCCTTCCCCTTCTCTTTCTACTGGGACATCCCAGAGAGCTCTTGCCCCACACGCTACCACTTGTCTTCTCTTCGCCTCCTCCTGCTGCCCCAATTCCCATGGTTTGGGAGTAGATTTGTGTGAGATTACTCAAAATGCAGAGACTAAAAGTCATTTAGGAGATGGACCGGTGAGAATCTGGGGTGGCATTTTCACATGAGACTCTCACACTAAAAACCCAAAGCCCAAATGTAAAATTCCCTAGGGCACTTGATTAATTTCATTCATTTCCTCTGTATCTTCAGTTTCAAAGCCATTGAGGAAGATCATTTCAACAAACATAAAAGTTCTCTTTAACTAAAGTCAACCAATGTGTTTTTTCAATGAGCTCGTAAGAGAGACTCAAACAAGAACTGTGTAAAGAAGGCAATTAGTGTTTGTACAATATAGTGAAAATTGGCTCGAGGCATAGTAGAAAAATACATGTTTTATATGTGTGTATTTTTTCATCCAGTTGCATAGTTTATATTAGATCTGGACATAGATACTTTTAAAGGCTACCAAAGTAATTCAAACTGTGCAAGAGGCTGTGATTGTCTTTTAAAAGGTTTTTTTAAGCCATAAAGTAGTTGGTCGTACTCTGTATATTTAATCACTCAAAGGAACAGCCTTTTCTACTGCTGTAGTATGTCAAGGAAGCTTATCTGCATATAAACAGCAAAATGGGACCTCTCTCTTGTGTTACAAAGCTTTAACTTTTGTAGTTTCAAAGTTGAGCATTGCTAAAAATGTACTGGTTGTGTCATTCTGATAAAAGGAGATACCCCTCTCCCTTCATCGTGGAGTGATACTTTCCATGGGGCTTAGAGCTGTCATAGGAGTAGGAAAAAAGCTGTCATGGTCATAGGATTCAGTGGAAAACTTCTATTTTAATAACTGTTGGGGGTTTCAGTTTCGGGGAGCGAGTGCCACGTTATCTGTCTTAAAGATTGTGCATCCCTTATCATGAGTGTTTTGCCCACAATTCGATAGGAATTGGGGTCAAGAGAAGGACCGTTTTCCTGGAGAAGGAGAAACAGGAATTGATACAACCATGGATAACGTGCCAGCTGAAAACTTGGGAGCGTTTTTCTGAAAATATGAGCACACCCATAGTCTATTAAGGAAATTCCTCCTCTTTTTATGATTTTATGATTCCTCCTCATTTAGCATTTGTTTCTGACAGGACAGAACGCAAACAAAAGAAAAACAGTTTGTGGGGCTCCAGTGCTGTAACGGGCACAAAAGTACTTTCTGCGGTTGATTAAGTTAAACTATTTCTTGTTTATATGAATTATTACAGTGTGTAAAGAGCAAAACTTTTCAGGAAGAGGAACTTTGTTCCTAGAAGAGAATTCCCCAGAGGGAGAGGCGACGTGGGATCTTGGATGCAGGAGCATAATGACTTGCCTTAACGTGCAGAAGAGAGCATATGGTTTTGGTAATAGGCTAATAAGAGCAATTAACCTTATAGTGCACTCATTTGTTGGTCTCAGTTGTTTATAAACTGGGTAATAAAGGTATTTTAACATCCTATAGCTTTATAGGAGATTAGTGAAGTCAGGCTGTGTTGTTCAGGTTCATGCCTGAGAGTGCTCCGGTGGTGGCATAAGTGAGAGAAACATAAAATTAGCAGAGAATAAACTCTTCCAAGTACTGTGTGGTGTGTCAAACCAGTGAAAATAATCACAAATGTATAAATACATAGTTCAGTGACCTCCATTGTGCGAGTACTTTGGTTTCTAGGTTGGTGGTGATGGGAGAAGGGTAATTTTCCCATAATAATATTTTTTTATTTGATTCTGTAACTTTTGGCAGTCACCTTTTGGGCTCCTGCTTTCGTGCAGTATTTGTTTTGGAAACTTTTGCCTGTTTATTCACAGTGTCCCAAAAGAAACTTCTAAATCAGTTCATTTGTGGGTTTAATTTGAGCATGCAAAATATGATACGTTGTGGTTGTTAGTGTTTGTCTGCCCTTCCTGGTTTACTGTTATTTGTCTGATTTTTACCTTACAGGTTGGTTACAGATGTTTTTATTGAGTTTAGGCCGTGATAACCCCAGTGAGTTGTTGCTGCTGTTTCTTTATCCTGAATTTAAAAGTCAAGACAATAATTTTTTTTCCTTTGGGTTTTCTGCAGAGAATTCCATGAAACTCTTCTGTGCAAATTTGTGCTCTTGGTTTTTTTCTCTCTTCGTTGAATTGATAGAACAATGTATTTGCTGGTGCAGCATTCACCAAATATGAGGGCTCTTTTGCTTTATTAGACTTGACAGTGTTTAAACAATACTAATTCTCGTACCCAGCCGCCTTTCAATTGATTTCTGTGCTCTCTGTTGCTGCGTAAAACAAGCCAGAACATAAAAGGCCTCTTGCATGCTACCCTCTGGAAACTTGTTTTTCTTTAGAGAAAAATCAAATAAGTGTAAAATTTTCCGGTTTTTTCTCCTCACATATTTTCTTCTGAATCTTGAAATGACATTTCAGTGCACTGACAGATTTTGTACACATTAAGATGCTAATTTTCAAGCACATTTTTTAAAAAGCAGTCTTAATTTTATAGTGTGATTTGCTACTTTGCTCATTTGTTTGTAGAAATCAATGTCTTGTTCTTCCCCTAAGGCAGAATATACCACCTTGAAAATCACGTTGAAGGTGTATGTGAATGTGCCATTTTAACCCAGCTAAAATTTTTTGTATTTAAAGTGTGTTGGCTAAACAGCTCAAGAACATTTGTAGATGTTAATAATTTCTTCTACCCGCTAACCCTAACAGTATTGGAGCAGCCTGAAGTTTCCAGCTGAATATTGGTGTATGAATTTCTGGGGAGAGTGAGACATAAAAAGCATTTTTCTATCTTGTAAACATCAAGATTTAAGTCACACCTTTAGGCAAATCCAAACCTTAAAACATCTGCTCCTGAAAGATGAATTTTCTCTCCTCTGGACAGTGTGGACTTCACCCGTGATGGGCTTTGGCCATTGTGGTGGGGTCTGTTCTAGAACCAATCTCTCCTTCCAGTCCTTGAGAGGCTGCTTAATTTCATAGGAATTTCATTTTATTGTGAAATATCACCTTTCTAAAACTCAAATGTGATTTCTCCTCTACTCCACCTTCCCGGAGGTAGCCCTGCAGCTGGGGCAGGGATCTGGGGCACTTGGTGGTTGTGGGTTGACTAGGTGGCCAACCCTTGGGTTCTGTTGTGCCACTCATACAAAATGTGTGTTAGTGTCCGTTTCACACAACGCCATGGACCTCAAAGTCACCTGGAGTCACTGCAGGAAATATTTTATGAATAATGGATGTTTTGATCCCACAGTATTTCATTTAAGCATTTTTTTTTATTTTTTTAAATTTACTACAGCTGGTCTGAAACCCCAGAAGAATGGAAGTTCCAAAAGACAAGACAAACCTGGCTCCTCTTGCACATGTATGATAAAGAGAAGGTTAGTATTGACACTGCTTTTTCTCAGAACAAACATGATAGAAAGTTTTATACCTTAGTTGTAGCTATTCTTTATTAACCAAAAGTTACTAGTGCTAGCCGTGCACTTTTCAAGTAATTTTTTAATAATCTATAAATCAATTACTGTGTTTTTAACCAAAATGCTGAATCATTTTAATTGCTTTAATTTCTTGTAATTAATCTATTTATTTTGTTGATCATTCTGCTGCGTATGCTAGGTTTTTATACGTGATATATGTCACGCATAAGTAGAGCAGATTCATGTTTTATGTAAACCTGGAGCTTACTGAGAATTTCAGTCATATCCTTCATTTGAATTTCTGAATGTGGAACTCGGTACCGAAAGCTACGGTTCTGGTATTGCTGCAGATACCTCTGGCTCCATGGAAGATGTACAGCCACGTTGCCAAGATGTTGAAATAGCTTTCTGATTAAAATATAAGTGAAACCTGATGTTGATTGTAGGAAGCGTAAAGCATAACCAGAAGCTGGGCTTCCATCCTTACTGAAACCCATTCATTTCATAACTTAAAAACCAATATAAATTGAATTTCCAATGAGCTCCTGCCCAGCGCGGGATCGAGTGGGGGTTTCGGGGCACTGGGTTTGTTGTGTAACAGCACAAACACGGAGCCGTTTGCGCAGCCCCTTCCCTATTGATTCATTCAGTTGTTTTTTGCTGATATTTTGTGTGCACTCAGCCATTTAACCACACCAATCTTCCTGACCCACCTTACTCAGCAGCTCTTACGCCCATCACCTGACGCAGGGTGTCACCTTGATGATTAAAAATACTTTTAAAGAACCAGATAATTAAAAAGCAGAGTTTTTTGAAGGCAAAGATGCTCACACAGTATAACGTTTCAAAAAGCTTGGTGGCAGAATCTGATTGTAGGTATTTAGGTTGTTTGCAGTGTCTTTTATTTTTAAGTTTCTCCTTTAAGAGTATTTATCAACCTTTCCAAATCAATGTACGCTCTTTAGAGCTGCCTAGAAATTGTGTTTCAGGCAGAATGATGTTTTTACTTTTTTTACCTGTTGACTTTGGGGTTTGTGTTGAAATATACTGGGAAATAATTAACTCTAAGTAGCATTTTTTCGCCTTATTTCTCAACACCGATATGAAACTTCCCTTCTATTTTTTTTTAAATCTGATGAGAGTGCTATGATTTATTTAAACTCACACATTTTGTAGGTTTATAATCAGAGATGCATTGAATATGAGCTGTAGATAATGACTAACATCTGCATCGAGATTCAGTAAAGTCAGTAGAACTGCTCAAGTGCTTATAATTAATCATATGATGAAGGCTCTTTCTTCATCAGGACTGTAGGCAGGGCAGATCAGCTTCTTTTGAATATTTTTTTATACCCAAATCCAACTTCCTGCCCGTTACAGAATAAAATCTGTTGGATATCCAGCCATGACTGAAATACAAAAGGAGACATGAGTCTCTTTCCTTCCTAAGCCACATCTTTGATCTCCTGGTGTCACTTGGATGCCTACTGAAAAGCCATGCGAAGGAGTGGATTGAGTTTCCTCTACTGGTTGGCCTTTTTCTGTAAGAAATAAATTGAAGGTTTTAAAGTTCTTTGCAACATGAGGGTTTTTTTAAGTCCCTTTGAGACCCATCTGGTGGTTGGCCGACAGCTTCCAAGCCAAGGCTGTGCCCCTACAGTGTATATACGTCTTCAGGATCCTGTATAAAATAAACACTAGGTCATTTGTTGATCTTTGTCATCTGGCACAGCATTTTTAGAAGGTGACTCCATGTGCTGTCTCCACCTGGGGGGGTTCCTCAAGCTCCCTCAGAAGTAGCTGACAAATCCAGCTTCATGGCTCAAGTTCTCCGTGCAGAGATCTCTATTTGCTTTGCAAAATCTGTGGGCATCTGCAAGTCTAAAAAGCCAGAAAGCTCTCGAGTTACACAGTGCAATTTAAAAGTGCCAGCTGCTCTTCTCCTGCTACTGTTTTGTAGTGTTTCCCCCCCTGTTCCCAACGATGGTAATTATTTCACCTTGGGATATTTCCACATTAGCCCGTTAGAACAGAGGCGAGGGGCGCGTGTGAGGGAGAAAAAGAAACAAGGAAAAGGTCAAAGCAGCTTAACAAAAGAATAATAATAAAATCCCATCAGCATCTCTTCCACTCGCCAGCGCCGTGGTGGGAGATCTCGATGTCCCATTTCAGGCCAGGCCAAAAGCTGATCTTAGAAGGAGGATCGTGTTCCTTCTTGTGAAACCTCGCCAGGAGCCCCTGCAATTCCAGCTCTTCTACTACTGTATTTGAAGAATTAAAATTTGGATTTCATTAAGTTTTTGCTGGCACTTCCCATGTTCCAGTCCTCGCTGTGGCTCTATCGTACGGGTAAATTAGGAGGAAATAGGATATTGTCTTGCCCACACGGTACTGGGTTGTGAGCTCTTGCTGGAATAAACCTAATAGCTGTGTGAAAGAAAAAAATCAGACTTTTTGCACACTTGAGCACTTATCCTTAGGGCCAAATGCTAAATGTTTTCTAGGCTTCAGGCAGCCACATGTCTGTCTGCACACTTTGTATTTCTAAATTTAGAGTAGGCTTTTAATTGCCCCTTCAAGCACTTTGCTTAAACGCTGTAATAATAACTGTAATTCGGCAGAGTGAGGTATGACTGTGCCACGGGGTCTGAGAACAAGAGGTGTAAATTATGTAGATAATTTGGCTGAGGTTTGAAACAGAGAAATGTTGCTGAGCTTTAAAAGCCTGGTGCTGAGCATCTGCATTAAAGGAGCACTTCCATGCCGGAATAAAATCAGTTTACTGTGAATAAAAAGATTTCAAAAATATAGACATTTTTTATTATGTTTAAAAGTGTTTGATTTGTATAGTAAGCATGTAGTGTTAGTCACTGTAAAATTAGGTTGGTTTTTTTTTGTATTTGTATTCTTTCTTTAACACAAGAGTATTTGTGAGAAGAATTAGGTTTTCCATAGCACATAAGTGATGAGGCTGGATGCAGACTTTAGGTTTGATTTATTGCTTTGTAATATCCCTGATTGATGAAGGCAGCGTTGGGATATTCTTTCTTCCTCTTCTTTTGGAGTGATAGAAGTTTCAGTGATCAAAGTTACGCTGCCAAATGTCGATGGAGGAATAAGTTGTAAATTAAGTATCTGTTGAAGCTCTGTCTTCTCTGAAATGTTGATACTTCGCAGAATTGAAACAGCCCTTGAATAATTAGTCTCCAGTCCTTTAAATACTTACGTATGTGTTTAACTTGACTCATGTCGAGCATGCCTTTTAAAGCTAGATGTGTAAAGTCAAACATGGGGAAAAATATTTGCAGGATTAGGTCATTTTCACATCTCCTGATTCACAGCAAAAATATTCTCTTACTGGCTGGAACCTGTTCCACAGATACACAACGTAAAGATACACTTCAGGGTAGACCTGCTCACCTAATCTGTCTGAAAATACATTGCCTTGAAATACTGAATAAATAATTCAAAAGTCTTTGCTCGGTTATTGCCGAGATTATTTAATGTAATGATCATTTACATTGTATGTTGTACCAGATAAGCTAAAATTCAACCTATGAGTGGTTAATGAGAAAGGGAGTGAAGCGGGGGTGACGCCGCCGTAGATGACTGCATGTGTTGGTAGAGCCCATTGGTTTTAGTCAGCATGATTTTAAAATTATTTCCATATGTCTGAATTCAATTTGTTTTTCAAATTAAATTCTGTTCCTCTGTAGAAGCACTCTGTCAACGTGCTTGATGGTGGGTGGGATCCCATCTTCACAAACAAATGATTTTGGGTGGGGGTAAGGGTGATTCCTGCAAATTCCTTTCCCCGGACACGTGTGTGCAATTCTCTCTGAATTCACCAGGCTTTGCAGATGTGTTTCCAAGAGAAAAAATTGGCTAGTGGGTTTTTTTTCTCCCCGACAACCCTCGCAGCCCTGAGCTCGCTCCCAGGGGGGGTTTGCATTTGTGGAGCAGCCTTTCCACATCTGCTTAGAATTTCCTCCGGGATGCTTTGCCCATCTCGGCACATGACGGTCCTCCTCCAGTTCCATCCATCCCTCCCACCTGGGCAAGAAACTCCTCCACTTCTCCTAATTATGTCAGGTGATGGTTTGACAAAATTGTGAATGAGGATTGAGAGAAAACAAAATAAAGCAGGGGTTTTATCTTCCTTATTAATTTTTTTTTTCCTTTAAAGGTTCCAGAGAAGTATTTCACCATTTTACTGGATTATCTGCAAGGGCTTCAAGGCAGCGCTCGAGACATAACTGTGCAGAAGGCTGAAGCTTTCATGAAGGAATTTGATGGTTCTGATGTAGAAGACCCAAAGCTGCTGGAGAAGTGTGAGCGCATACGACAAGTGCTGCAGCTGCTCTCCTGAGGGTCATTTTGTCATTCTGTGTCCTAATGACTGTCTGGTGGAGAGGAGGAGAGGGTGTCATCCACAGAGACTCTACGTTAGTTGTAAAGACGTATTTTCTAATAGGAATCCTAATACTAAATTTTCAGATTTTGTATACTCATAATTTTTTCCAATTACAACTATTTATCGTGTTTTGAGGTGATGAAATGAGAATAACTTATTTGGTCCATAGACGTGCTATTAAAAGTGAAATTACTGCCTATCTTTAGGAAAATAAACCTCTCTTTCTTGTGACGTTTTTCTCCACCTCTCCCCGTAGTCACTGTTAAACAAGAGGAGCTTTGCAGTTCTTGGTAAGAAGAGCAAAGGAACCAATAAAAAGCCCTTTTCCAGTGGCAGCTGGAACCAGTCCCTCTCTGTGGGTCGCTGGGATTTGGGATCCATCGTGGCTGCTCTGTTGGACACGGGCTCTGTAACACAGTTGCTTATTAATAAGCACTTTGCAAGGCAATGCCATCAGCTTTGATAGTTTTAATTTATATTATAAGGTTTCCAAAGGTGTCGTGGCAGTTGTTTAGATTCTCAGATAATGCCCAGCTGGGAAGGGATCGAATTGTTTGACTGTTTCTAGTGAAATCATCTGATTTGCCCTAAACTGGGCTGCACGAGGAGTGCTGTGCTGCAGCACTGCCTGCCCAGCCAACGCGGCTTTTCCCTCTTTCTCCTGTAATTGGTGGCCAAAAGAGTTAATTTGTGTTCATTCGCTTTGACGTGGCCCATTTGTCTCCTATGAACATGCTGAAAATGAGGCTTTCAAGTAAAAAGCAAGGACGTTAATTACTCAAAAGTTGGATGATTGACTTATTTAATAACACTTGTATTCAGGCAGCGTTCTTGACCTGATTCTTTAATGTTTCTGCAAACATCCTTCATACTTTATTAATAACCACGATATGAACTGTGTAGTGTTTTAGAAGAGTGGCTGTCTTTGGGAATTATGGCATTAATTTGGAGGGGTGAGAGGGGGGAGGATCTATGGGTATGGAGGCCTCGTTTTTCAATAAGAAGCATTTGGGTGGATTTGACAGCCTTCGCAGGCGTGGATTACTGCAAATCTTTAAAAATATGAAATATATTACTCGTAACAAATAACTTAGGCTTTCTGACTTCTTGAAGATGATGTTTTCAGCCCCGGAAAGGGGGGTTTAACACAGGGGTGGGCAGGATTCGGTGGCGGTGTCCAGGCTCCTGGTTGAGCTGCCAGTGGTTCAGGTCTTGCATTTTATGTCTGAGAAAAACCACTATTGCTCCAAGCAGAGGCTGAGACTTTTTTCTTTCCATTATGGAAAAAAAGGAATTAGGGATGAAGTTTTCAAATTGTCTGTGAGTTTGTTTTGATTTTTAGGTGTCACAGAAGACTTGGTGATCTCTCTTAGGTTTTTGAAAATTGCTGCTTTTGGTTTCTGTACCACACAGAAACGTAGGTCCTCACTGTGCAGTTAATGAACCTTCTGGCTTAAAAGCACAAGCACTTTGCGAAGGTATTTTGGAAGAGACTTGTGAAAAGGATTGTGAGGGTAAGGTCCAGGCAAAAAGATGTGAACCGTATGTGATTTTGACAGATTTGGCAAGATTTGGCTTTCTTGGACCTTGGTTCTCGGCGTTTTCATCCAGGGGTTTACTTTGTGGGGTGAATAAGTATAGCAAGGTTTCCTCCATCACGTATTTTGAATGATTTGCAATTATTCAGTGTATAATCAGTTATTGGATTCCTGTAGCTGCTCAGGGCTGCAGAGGGAGATATAATCTGGCACTTCGTTCGCTTTGGTTTGTTGTTTGTCCTGTAGAATTTTCAAATCTCGACATGGCTGTGGCTCAGGTGACAGTGGACAGAGATGGAAAAGGATGGTGGCTGTTGCTCCCTTCAGATCGGTCTGTTGGGTTAATGGAAACGGCCTCTGAGGCGAGAAGTGACAGTGTGTCCAGACTGACAAATTACATCTTCATCTGCCACCTCTAATTGTCTTCTCATTGGGTCAGTCTCTGTTGTGTGGCTCTGGCTGGAAGAATTCGTCCTCTCAGAGAACGCTGAAGTCAGGGTTTCCAGGCAAAATAAAGGAACATTAATTACTCAAAATTGCTTCAAGCTGGAACCATGCCTCTAATGGAAGTACTAATTACTCAAAATTTGACAATGTAAAAAGTTCCCTTTAATTTGGCTGCTCCTTGCTGTGGATGGAGGGTTCTCTGCCACCCACCTGCAATTTTCATCAGTAAATTGTAAAATTACTGGGTGAATGAATTCTTCAAAAGGGTGTATCGTAGCTGTTGAACGCGTAGTTTATTTCCTCATTTCCTCACACTGGAGAATGGCTGTGCCCTGTTTCTGTTGATTTTAAAACAAGGTGACTCTTGACTCATCTCCCATCATTTCAAATAGCTGAGAAATGCACTTCTTTGGTTTGAGCTTGCTTTATTCATTTGGGTTTTTTTTTTTATCTTTTGCCACTAAGTAAGGCAAAATAATGAATGTTAAAATCTACTCACATTTCTGCAAATCAGACTCAGAAAAAACAATCATAAAAGAGATTTAGGTTGCAAAGTCAAGCGCTCAGAAAATTAGAAAAGATGAGAATGGAAGTTGTCTGTGCAATTTTAATTTCACTCCTTCACGGGTATGTGGTGTGATGCAACCTCTAATTATGTCATCAGTGCTGTATTTCCCATTGTGTGTAACTTGCAGTTCTGCTGCTCTTCTCGTTTTCAAAAATCAGGGCTACAAAAGGGGATTAAAGCTTGAGAAATGACTTTGCTGGGAGGACGTGATCCTGCGGAGGAGAAGTAAGTAGGAACTTTCCTGTTCCTTTGGTACAGGAATGAGTCGTAGATGTTTCATCACAAATGTTCCTTTTAAAAAGTGTTTTAATATTCTGATTCATTTACAGTCAAAATACTGAATTGATGTTACTTAATTTAAATCCAGTTTTGTTGACATAAAACTTTCCAGTGGCTTATTCTGGTTTAGCCTTTGGTTTCCTTTTATGTCTTCCTTTCTGTACGGCTGAATGAGCTGGTTATTTCTGTCCCTGCAAATAGGAATATTAGTTGTTTACAGTGATTCCAGTCGTACAAGGACACAATTAAATGTCCTTGCCTTTGCAGGACAAGCTCATTTTAGCAGTGATTTATACTTACATTCTATTTTAATTCTTCATAAGAACATACATAGTCAACAACTTAATATGGTCAAAAATAATAATTTATTTTTTTCATTTTTTTTCCCCTATGAGGAGTAGGGAATACCAAACTAAATAACACTAATGAGTAAATGATGGGGGAGGGGGAAAGCAAAACAGTGGTTTATCTTTCTTTGTCAAAACAAAGCTGAATAAGAAGCTTGTGCTGCTCAGAAAGTTTGGCTGGTGTTAGAGACACAGGGGGAGGGCCCTTGGGTTAAAAACAGAAGAACAGTCATACAGTTGCTCTTATTGATTTTTTTTTTTCCCCCACCACCACTACATGCAGAAAATTTTTGGCATTCCCCAAGAAAACCCACGAAAACACCTACGTCAAAAAGTTAAATAGGTTTCAAAATCAAATACTTAAAGGTCAAGAAATGCCACATGTATATAAATGGCTAAAAGAATTCAAATTCTACCTTTCTGTGCCTCCGGCCTGGAGATGGAATGAAGGGGGATTGTGTTAGAAGCAAACAAGCCAAAACCCCTAAATTATGCGAGCACATCGTTAAAGATTACCAGATCCCCTTCTATTCATAGGAAGGTGGAATTACATTTCCTATTAGCTTTAATTATTCAGATTTCTTAAAGTAGGCTTGCTGCTAATTGAAATATCACGTAGCCTTTTGCTGTGACAACTTACATCTGTTCTCCTCAGGGGCCCACGTGTGCTTTACACAGTTTTAAGCTGCGGGACACAGGATCTGTCACTCTCCTTTCCTTATAAATAGCCAGCCCTTGCTCCAGCACTGTGACAGTCATCCTTGGCTGCTGAGCTCCTCTGGACCCCAAGAAGAGTGTTGACACTGGGTTTCTCTGCTGGTCTGGAGGTAAAACAAGCTCTGGCAGCATCCTTTGTGTGGGCCAGGCTTTCCTAAACTCCATGAAATTGCCTGGATCCGGTACAGGGACATAGTTTATGGGATGTGCCTGGGGAGCACTGAGACACAGAGCGGTGGGGTCTCCTGCTAAGAGCTGCAACCACTTTATTTCTCTACTTTTCCTGGTCTTAATTGGACCAAACAAACTGTTTTCGCACTATTTTGGCATATTGAAAGCTTAAGCTACAGCGATGGTGTTTCTCTGGTAGCGCGGATACGCCTAAATAGACTTTATGGATTTCACAAAGATTTATTGGAAGCAGAAGCTCCTGCAGGGTGCTGGAAATGATTGACCAACACCCAGACTTACCTTGTTAAATGAGACTGGTATTTCCTGCCCCAAAGGCCGGCCAGCAGATCCCCGCGGCGCCAGCCAGCCAGGAACCCATGTATGGGCATCCCAGATAGCAGAGGGCAGGGATGACAGCGGGGAATGGAACCTCCCCACCCCTCCTGGTGAAGGCAAAATGCCACCTGGCACCAATCCCGGCTGCCATAAGGTTAAAAATAACAAATAGTCTCCCCATTACATAAGGAAATCTTTTGTCCTTGTTTAACGGGGCGCTATGATGGGCCAGAAGGAAGAAATGTGGAGCTTCTCTGGTGTCTTACTTGTGGTTAGTGCTTGGGGCCAGACCAGCTGAAGGTACCAGGGGTGATTGGAAGCCAGGCCCTGGGTACAAGCTGCTGGCATTAAACTGGTGGAATTTGGGTGAAATTCCAGAGTCTAAGTGTGCCCAGCAGCAGCGTCAAACTGGTTCAGTGCCCTGGTGATATCTCAGCCCCAGGAAGGGTTTCTAGTCCCCTTTTTGTGATGATCATGTACCATAATGTAACTAGAGTCTGTCTATTCAAAGCAGCCTGTAGACCCTCTGCAGTCCTTTGGCCACCTTCTGCTGCCCATTGCAATAAAATAGGTGCTGGAGAAGCTGCTGAAGTTTCTGTGGATGAGTTGATGCTCACCCCAGAAGAGCGACCTCACCTGCCTGTGGGTCACTTCGGTCCCATGGAGGAACCCCCAGCTTTGGGTTCAGGTCAAGGATTAATTGGCAATGACAGTAATGCTCCAGCTTTCTCTTTGAGTCCTCCTTCTTCTCCTGATCATGCTCAAGGTGAGATGCTTGTGATGAGCCTCTGTCCAAGAGAGACCCTCCCGTTTCAGAGGCAGCTTTGAGGACTATCAAAGGCAACACATTTCCTGCACAGCTCTGCCTGTACCCTCATCTCTTTGGAGGCTCCGATGCCTTTCAGGAAGCTTTTCCAGTGCCTGTTGCAAGCAGGAGCATCATCAGCAGATGGTCCTCACACTTCTAGGCCCTCGGCTCTACCCACACCATCTCCACGCACCCAAGGATCTGCTCCCACTCTCCATCTTTTTGTGTGAAAAAGTGCTTCCTGGTGCTTGCCACTTCAGCTGGGATAGCAGAAGGCATTGGGGATTCAAAGTTCCTGAGATATCATAGTCATAACAAGTGAGTTATCCTAAAGATTGACCCAAATTCCTCCAAGATGGCTGTGGATTTCCATCTCCATCAGCTCGTCCCTGGGGTGATGTCTCATCAAGCAAATCCAGACCTGACACCTGGATGGGTAAAGTGTTTCTGCTTGGGTGAGGTGATGCCAGCCTGAGCCTGGTCCCAGCCCGAGTGTGACTTGCAGGAACTGGGGAGAGGTGGCAGGGATTATTTAAGAGCTTTAAAAACTGCCTGAGATGACTCCAACCCTGG